AAAAAAAMWSGMSRRAAAAAAATATAATTATTAGAAATAAAATATGYATATAGATATAAGACAAGCTAAGCTATGGTTCATAAGCTTGCTTAAATAAGAATGTCTTTAGTAGTTTAAACACGGATGACAAACAAAGTCTTTTGTCATTATGAATTCAAGATCGATAAACTTTTTGTGTCAAGGATTTTGCACACAAACAGATACAAAATTTCAGTAATTTACATGACCTTTGGCTAATGGCTAAGATGGGCTGCATGTTTAAAGGGGGACGTTGAATTTCCATTTTGTCAGGGGGGGGGGGGGGGGGGGGGGTTAAAGAAAATAAAGGGGTACACAAGTCCTAATAAATAATAGCCTCTTTACCTGTGCTGGAGACTTGAGAGCATTAGGTTTCAATGTTAAAGGATTTGTTGGTGTCAATTCCATCCCAGGAAGAAGGTCATACATTGGTTCCTGGAAAAACCAAACATAATCAACTTTATATCACATTTCATTACTGAAAGATCAAAGAGAAAGTGCCTCCACTGTAGCTTCACAAGTCCCTCATCCCTGAGTTCCCTAGTTGACAGTTTTCTTTGTGCTCAAGTGAACAACATCAAAACCACATTAATTTTAGCATCATAGATTCATATTAAAAACACCGCTCCTGTAGTAATCCATAATAACTCTTAGAAATTAAAAAATATAACCAAAAGATTTCTACTTTTATGTCAAGTCTCTGCCTTGCACATAAACATTCTAAGAATATTATTTGCAAGATCTTTTATGGATAACTGTAGTCATCTTTTGATGTTTTTAGGGTAAAGAAATAATACAAATTCATTATGAAGTTAGGTAATGCCTCATTCCAAACCTCTTGTCCCTGTCCTTTTCTTGCCCCATCACCATAGTAACCAACTCGTCCAGGGGGGCCACCATAATACCCTTTAAACATTAGTGGACTTCCTGGAAAGTAGTATTTATTTCCTGCTGATCGACTACCAGCTGCAGTGCGTCCCCGCCCCCTTGATCTTCCTGGACTGTACCCTGTTGCAGCTGCTGCTCTTCCAACTCCACTGGAAAGACACCGATGAATAAACAATGTGTTTAACAGTATTCTGATTATGATTGGTTACAATAGGCAAGTCTTGTGTGGATCAGCMTTAAATGYGTTTTTYAGAGACATGATTCTACATGCTTCAATCAAAATAGATTGATTCTAGTCAGTTTCTCTTTCACTGTTGCTTTAAGCGCCAGTTTTTCTAATGAAACAATTCCAATAAAACGGGAACTTATTACTATAAAATGTAATGAGGATAGAAAAAGTACTGTTGTTTCAGAGCTTTGTCTTATTACTTAAACGAAGGACTAATGTCCAAAACATCTGGCTATTAAAATTTAACCTTTCATCTGTTAATTAACTATAACACAAATTTCAAATCACCTTGCCAGACAGACCTAACAATTAACGCCAGACAATGTCAACTACTAGTTAAAGACTTTATAATTGGCAAGTTATGTATAGTTTAAAACATGAGAGAGAGTGTTTTATCAGATATAAAGGTCCATGCATGTGACCAAATAGGCTCATTCTATTGGCCTAATAACTCATTAATTATGACGTATGAGTTTTTGAAGTGTTCTATAACCTCTAGTCTCAGGTTACAGTTTAAGATTAACTTCCTCTGAAATTCCAGACACATTTTAGGTATTTTATGTATTTTATGGTATTCTTTGACTGACTGTAAGTACTAATTACTTACAGCTGTTTTCCAGCTGGTCCATAAATGTCCTAAGAATACAGGTTACATCAAATAATTCTTTCTGTTTGATAACACCAAAGGATGATCAACGTAAGACAACCATCTGGTTGAGCTAATGAGATTTACTCAAATGAAGTAAAACCAACTAGTTACTTGTATTAACAAGACAGCTGTCAGAAGTATAAAGCTTTTAATGTTCATTAGTTAACACTATAAAGCATGTCATTCGCATAGCATTCAGCGAGAAATAAATGTGGAAACTTTTGTATTATTTCAGAATCAGAATGTAAAATTTGTATTGTATTTGCATGTAAAAGTAAGTTTTTGGTGAATTCTCAAGGGCTATGATCAACCAGCATTCAATGCGGTCATGCTGTAGATTTTTGGTGTATTGAAATGTTAAAATGACTTTAAATATCCATTCATAATTTGTTTCCATCAGTTGGTTTTAAGGTCAAATCTTACAATATCATGTATTTTTATCTTCAAACAATAACAACAACCGTAGCCCTTTTAAGGAACGAAAAATCATTTCTTTGTTGTTCATTTTGAATTGCTTTTTGTGGTTACTCCTGTCTTAAGACGGGTAACCACTATGTTATCGAGTTGTTAGTAAGTCTGTAAAACAATCACGTGATTTGACAGAACAACAGCTTTTGTTTATAATATGATTTAATCCCAGATATTCCAATTTATCTTTCATATCAGTTACGTTTTGGAGTAACCACATGCGCTCTAAGATCAACGTTAATTATAGTAGAGACCATGCATCTCTTTGGACCCTCAAGAACCCCCACAATCGTAATGTTAAACTTTAGCAAAGTGACATCTAATTTATGCTCTATGCACTTCCTGGGCAAAGTACATTCTATACATTGACTTACTTGGTCATCTGGTTATGCGGAGGGATTGCCATATAAGGATTACTGTATGGATACACAAAAGCTGGCGAATAATCATAAGGCATGTAATTATATGCTGACATCATTGCCTTTGCAGCAAGCTTTGCTTGACGGTGGTCCTTGTCGACTGGTTTTGCTAATGTTACTTCAATTTCATTTCCATCAAGTTTACTACCTGGAAAAATAACGTGAAAGTTTGTATTAAATTCTGTCTACTATAGCAGGTTATTTGGGGTTTTAATCACAAAATCTTTGCTCTCTTGTAACTAAAATTGTAGAATCAAAGTTTGTTGCCTGTAATAAATGCGCAGTTGATAGTTATCAGAAAAGATTTTGAAAGATTGTATGACAGTCACTATACAATCACTGGACAGCTATAACAATACTTTTGAACAGTCTCATAGAGAAAACAGCACAACTTCACATTCATACACTGTAACTACAACTAACAATGAAGCTTTAAGTTTCATCGTTCATGAAAAACAGTGCTTTAAACTGTCAAAAAAGGGTGGCATCCTATTGACAAACTATATTGATTGTCCCATGTAGAAACGTCAGTTGTGTCTCTATTGTATCAGTATGCAGCGATAGACAGCTATACATACAGCAATAATTATATCCATCATAGCAAGCTGATTTGTGGTTTTACTTTGATGAAGGCATGGCTAGTTTTCAAAACATTGATGAGTATTGTGACTGTTTACATATTAATTTTTTAGCTATCAAATCCCAACAATTAACACTAACAAGTTTTCTTTATATTTAGGATTGTACACAATAACCAGCATATAAGATTTTGAAAAACATGCTTTTCAGCAGAATACATGTAAACTTTAAATAATATACATTTAACCATGATGACTTGCAAAGCAGTAATTTTAAGTCATGTAAACATACCTGAAAACGTTTGTTATATTAACACATCGGGGTAGTAATTGTGATTGAAATCATAACAAGATTTTTTACAAAAGTAACTTTAAAGTACGCATCTTTTCAATTAAGTTTTATTGGGAAGTATTGACTAAAATTCTATCAAATACGCATTTATAAATACAATCTGAACTTTTAGATGATATTTTTACGACATTTTAGAAATTATCAGGCTTTTCTTAGAATTAAAATTTGTTCTTCGAGTACGACCTTGACAGAGCGAAAACACTGGTTGAGGAGAGAATACAGTAATCCATCTTTCAGCATTCAATGTAATAACTCCTGATACACACCTTGTTGACAGAATCGCATCACACAATCTCTTCTAAGCTGTAACAAGGTCGATGTTGAACAACAAACTGACAATTTGCCTGGGCATATCAAGAATTTAAGTCGTAAAGAAATATTTGACGTGGCTTTTGAAGAAAAAAAACCCGCGTAAGTCGGTTAGTTATAATGTTTCGATTGTAGCTCTTTTATGAATCAAATCTTACCAAAAGAAATAGCATTACATTGGATTATCTATACCTCAAATACTATCTATACATTTTTATTGTTATAAAAATTAAACAAACTGTAGTTGTTGGTCTCACGCCATTTCCGCTCAAGACCAAAACACCCTTCGAGTTTCAATCGTTTTAGTTCGAAATCTTTAAGTTTTGTCAAAATAATGAAAAAATTATCGTGGAGCGATGAAGGGGAGGTTAAGGTCAAAAGTAAGATAGATCGTATTTCGTTCACAGGAAAAACTCTGTTTAGATGGAAAGACAACTATTTATAGATTTGGTCTCTCCACTCAAGTGCTGGTCTTGTGACTAGTGCCTGCGTACAACCACATTATTAACTGGATTCGGCGTTGAAAGAGGCGGCTTCAAACTTTGACATCTGTTTTCAATGAATGTAGCAACATTTAAGTTTATTTGCAGCCTTTGACAAGGGAAAAATCCGCAATTTGAAAGCTGATGGAGCTTCATCTTTGCCAAGTAAAAGATCAAGTTACAACCTCCACGTGACAGCACATCAAAACACTGGAACAATGTCCACTTTTTAATTGATTAAAAAAACTAGAGGAAGGATTTTGAATTGAACAGTTCTTAAAAGTGTATGTATGCCAAACTAATTTGAAAATTGTTGCACGAGAAACGGATTAGCATTGATAATGAAATGACAACTTGTAGATCGAAATTAGAAAAGAAACTTCATAGCAACACAAAATGTCACAACATTTAAWGCCAGGCGGAAAAATAAACCCAAAATCACTTGTACACATAAAATAGATACCAAAACATCAAAGAAAAAACACATTTCACTTATCGAAAGTGGTTTGTAAGTAATTTTCATTTATGAACAACGCGCTAAAGGTAGTAACTTAGTCAATTTCACATGTTAGCCTAATAGAGGTGCGAGAATCAGCCGTTCACAATGGCGGCTGCGACGGAAATTTCCCCAGGGACGCGTTGCTTATATTTCGATAACAAAGAAAGCAAATTGAGTGTGAAATCCAGTATTAAGATTTAACAAAGCTATTTAGTGGACTATCAAGCGTAATGACCAAAAAACAGCGGGTAAAGGTCAGTCTTGTGGCAGGGTATGTATTCATGGATGACCTAGCAAGGCTTGAACCAGCCTTCTACCTGTTCGTACTAACTTTTCAAGCTAAAAAAGTGAAATATTCATTACCGTTCATTTCCTCCAAAGCTTCTCTTGCTTGCTCTCTCGTTCTGAAGTGAATAAAGCAGTAGTCTTTGATCTTTTTCACTCGTTCTACTTCGCCGAACTTACTGAAAGCCTCTTCAATTGTTTCCTCTGTGGTGCTTAAAAGAAGGTTTCTGGCGTACAAGACCTTCACCTTAAACACAAAAGATTACAATAAAAACTTATTAAAACGAGTCGGTTTCTTTTCTTCAGGGCTCAGTGCACTGGTAATATATAGTAAAGCTTATGTTTGCTACGGATTGTGCTATTCAATGTCTAATTATCTCAATACAAGACTACAAGAAAGTCGACATACAACACGACATCAACAAACACCATCTTTAAACATGACACACAAAATGAAATACCGGTAATATTTTGAAAAATATCTCACTCTCTGTACTGTTAGGAATGATTTTATCATGTAACAAGTGTATGTATTGCTTATGGTTGATGTGTTGGCCCTATTTCAACCTCTAGCTAATAATGGGGGAGGGGCAAAGAAAGGCACAAGTGCAAAGCGAACGTACCTGGTCCATTATATCTTGATCGACTTCTTGCTCCGGCTCAGCCCAATCCACAGCGATTTGATGTCCCCACAATTGTATTTTTCCACTCATTAACTTTCTTCTTGCCATGGCAGCGTCCCGATGGCTTGAATACTCCACAAAAGCAAAGCCACGATTCTTGGTTTTGTCCTGTGCTGATGGATACACTATAACATCAACGACACACTCGGTGACTTTGGACACTTCAGCAAAAATCTCGTCCTTCTTTACTTTCTTAGGAATACCACCGACAAATAATCTACAATTATCAACAGAAGAACATACTCCAACACATTTCCCCTTTCTTATTTCATAATTGTTCATCGTCTTGATACATTTCTTGGCGTCTTCTCGATTTGTGTAAACAACGAAAGCATAGCCGCGATTTTGTCCGTTGAAATCCATCATAAGGCGGATTTCGTAAATCTTTCCTAGTTTCTCAAATACCGGCACGAGCTCATCTTCATAGAGATCTCGAGGAACTTTCCCAACAAAGACCTCGCATCCTCGTGGAGGCGCCGGTCGATCCCAGCCTGGAGGAGGACCGTAGCGTCTTTGACCATTACATTGTTTTATCGGGTATTTCGTTCTTTCCATTAAAGCTCTAAGGGCCGCCTCTTTAGGAGTCCCTGCAACACCATCGGTGACACGATCGGCGGCAGACTCATCTCTTTTTGTAGCAATCTCTTCGGACATTTGGTCGTTACCTACTAATACTTTATTCACCGTCATTTCACGTGTACCCTTCTATGACTGATCGACGCAAGCGCTCTTCGTATATATACTAAATATTAAAACGTCACGTGACTCATGTGTCAAGTCACAAGGGCAGCCAATCACAGCGCCATACCATAGGCAAACTTTTTATCCTAAATCAACGTAAATTTGTTATTCTATAGATATTTGTTTGCTTTGAGCTAAGAGCTATGTGATAAACAAATCGAAAGTTATTTTAAATTAAAACTGACTGTATTGTGGTTGTCAATAGCTTCAGCCGTGTCAGACTTGACAAAGTTTAAAGGGGTGAACTGTCTAATCAGCGATGATATGATCGCGCGATAATCGAACAATTTCTTTCCCTACTTAGATATGTAGAAACTAAAATATTTGCTTTTTATATCAATAGCGTCACCTCTAAAGTGTTCTCAGGATTTTACTTTGTGAACCCTGTAATATAGATGTCTGATCTGATCAGGTCTAAACGTGTAGAAAATCTTAGGTCTAGATTGCAAAACGATACCTCAGCAAACGGAAATGGCCACTGACCACGATGATATCGACATGCTGACCTCAGACATCACAAAACATCTTTGAACAATCCTAAGCTTTCAAAATGCTGAAAACTGCTTACACTATAAAGTAATCTTGGTGTTTTTTAATTAAAAATATTTTTGCTTTATTTTCTTGATATTTTATTACTATTATCA